AGGGGCCCCAGATAAATCATTTCATTAGTAGGAATACCAGAGTCCCTTTAACTATGGAGTGTTTCCAAATAGTGAGTCCTCTCGTTGGCTTTAATGAACAGATACGGATCTTGGTAATTAACTTCGCGATGGCTTGCATGTAAATGGATAGGCATCGGAGTGCTATGAGACACGTTATTTATTGCTGGAAGGATGGGTTAAGCATGCTATTGGCTGTCACCCCCCCCCCCTCTTGCAACAAGATCAGGTGCCAACAATCCCCTAAGTAAATCCCAGAGGTTTACTTATCCTGGGGGAGCAGTCTCCCTCTTCCGAGAGATCCCAGGGGGCCCAGCCACAGTAGTTAGGCTCCATCTGGGCCTGGATGCCACCCCAGGGCCCTCTTGGCAGGGGGGCCAGGTGGGGCCTGGAGGGCCCAGAGAGGCAATGCGAAGCCATACCAGAGGCCTTTGCTGCCATTGCCCACAATTCCACAGGGCTCCTGCCATGTGTGTGTTCCCCGTGAGCATGCCATGTGCACGTGTGTATGTGTTTGTGTCACCTGCGGGTAAGTAGGGGCGTTTAGAGTGTGGATGTGTAAAGTGTGTCTAGGGGTACATTCAGACTCGTGGATGAGTCTGGTTCTTGGAATGGGGGCTTACTGGGGCCCTGGCATCTCTGGAGGTTTCCTCCATCTGCTGGGGTGTCCCCCCTCCCTGGGGGACTTGGTCTCTGCCTAGCAGTCCAGCTCCCCCCTCTGGACCTCCCTTCCCTCGCCTGAGAACAATCCCATAGGGGACACATCTGGAACCCAGCCTGGAGTGAAGGGGTGGTGTACATGCAAATGTGTGGGAGAGATGGGCAAAGGGAGAGGAGGCCCAGGGAAGTGCCCCGGCTTGCTGGGCAGCACAGCTCCCTGTCAGCGATGATTAAGTACATGCACCCCTTCAACTCCAGGGAGGGCCGCAGGGTGGGCCCAGCGCTCTGCCTCTTGGAGGGCTGAGTAGGGGAGGGACTGTAGGCCCTGCAGCAATAGAGGAGAGGTCAAGGCGTGTGCCAAATTCATAGTCATCCATCTGCCCCAAGACTATCCAAGATCTAGGCCTTCAGGAGGGCCCCACATCCTCAGAGACCCTTCCTTGCCCCCTCCCACCTCCAAACCTCTCCAACCTCCTTCCCCCTCTGGCCAATCCTATCTGTGCCTCAGCATGGGGCAGAGAGCAGGTAGGCTTGGCACTGACCATGGGAGACATCCTGCTCCCGTGAAGATCCCCAGCTCTGTAAACCCACAGGGGCGGTCCTGCTCTGCCTGACAGGATTGCCGTGACTCAGAATCGACTCCGTGCTGGTGACTTTTAAGGTTTTATTTGTTTTCCATCAGGGAGGTAGGCCGATATTGGCCCGGAACCCACCCCCTGCTGTGGAATCCTAGTGACTCTTTAGAAAAGGGTAGAATTGCTCCTTAGGATGATTGACAATATAAAGCTGGATGGGAGCAGAAACAGCCTCCTCTTTCTTCTGAGGAGCTGCTAGTGGGTTAGAACCTCTGACTTTGAGGCTGGTGGCCCAATGCCTAACCCACAGCATCACCCAGGCACCTCGGCTGTTGCCCAGTGGTGAGGATTATCAGGTTGATCGTGAATCAGAAAACCAAGGGCTCAGAGGTTGTGGTACACTAGCTGAAGGTCATACAGCAGAGGTCCTTGCTGAACTGTCTCAGGGAGTGAGAGTTTCTTTAATTCCCCATGGTCTCAATTTGGCTGCGAAGACCTCTCTCATCGCGAAGCCTTCCTTTGGGGAAAGCGAAGCACCCTGGGTCTCACTGCTTGTTCCATGAGAGGTTTGGCTCTGTGGATTTTGCTATCAGTAGATCGCAGTTGGCCACGGCTATGCTGGACCAGGGTGGGCAAAGGCACAGAGGGCCATCCAGGGCTGGGATGGTGGGAGGATGGGCTGGAGGCAGCTTCTAGGGCCCAGCCTTTACCGCCAGCCCTGGCTGGGTGAGAAATCTGATTTTAGGAGCGAGCTGATTCATGGGCCTGGCTCCCTGGAGCTCCCCAAGCAGCTCTCTGTCAATAACGAGTCTTTACAAGGTCCCTCAATTCCTTCTCGGGGTTGGAGACAAATTTTCAAAGGAGAGTTCAGAGCCAGGGCCTTTTCAGAGGGGCCATTAACTTAATGTCCCTCCTCATTCCAGCCCGGCCCGCTCCCTCTTGGACCGTGTGAAGGTCAGGACTTGCCGTGCCGACACTGTGCTCAAATTCTCTCACTGGGCAGAGGGCGAGGCTGACAAGGCAGGAGCCCGCATTAAAGGGCAGGGTGGTGGCCAGGACTCTGGCCTTCTGTGTGGCTTTCTGCTGACTGCTGCCTCTCTCCGGTCATTTCCCTGTTTATGAGCATGTGTCCGTTCTTCCCAGGAGTGGCTTCGTCACCCATGGTCATTGGGGACAGATGTCTCAGCAGTCACGCAGTGCCTCACATCTCCTCTGCCTCATCTCCCGCATGGAGCCTGTCCCCACACCTACTTCCTGAACACACGGTTCCCCCCAGCTCTCTGCTCCCAGCGCGCTGGCTGCCTCAGCCCTGCAAGACCACTTCCCTTCACCCAGTGGGGAAGGAAAACACCTGAACTTCTGGTCCGAGCCCTGCCCTCAGATCAAAGCTGACTCCTCCCACCCCGCCCACTCCCACCTTGGCATGGCATCTTTGTCATTGCAGAGAGGGTCACACGCCTTGGTCCTGTGCCATCCTCACAATCGGCATGTTGGAGCCCACTGCAGACACCGTGTCCATCCATCTCCCTGAGCAGCGGTTCTCAACCTTCCTCATGCTGCGGCCCTTTCATACAGTTCCTCGTGTGGTGGTGACCCCCAACCATAAACTTATTTTCGTTGCTACTTCATCACTGTCATCGCAACCCACAAGTTGAGAACCGCTGTCCTTGAGGTTCTTCCTCCTTTTCGACCGGCCTTCTCCCTGTTTGCTCTTTTATGTTCCCACCAGCAGCGGTCAAGTTCTACCACAGGTAGCATCAACCATCCCAGATGACAGGGGTCAATTCTGGTTCCCCATCCTCTCTTGAAGCTGGGGGACAGGGCTCCTCACAGCCCTGTGCAGTAGGGGCTTCGTGTGCCGAATGGAGTGGATCTAAGCTTCAAGTGTCACATATTGATTGACATAGAGTTGATTCTAACGTATAGCAACCACAAAGAACTAGGTAGACCTGCCCGTCGGTTTCCGAGACTGTACATCTTTCTGGGAGCACAAAGTCACACCTTTCTCCGGAGGAGCTGCTGGTGGTTTTGAACTGCCAGCCTTTCAGTTAGCCACCAACCCCTAGCCCCTCCTTGCCATCCCACACAGCCATTTCCTCTTCCAAGAACCTCAAAAGAATTGAGTTAACTTGTGATTTTCTATGCTGATAAGGTGCCAGGACTAGGAGAATCCCCGAAGGTGGGCTATGTGGAAACCATGCATAGTGTGCATGTGGATTTTAGTTGGCAAATATTGGTTGAGACCTGGACAGCTGTCATGATAGACAGAAGGGATTAAAAAACCAAAACCAAACCCTGAGGCACCCTCCACCACTCCCATGAGCTCGGAGCCAATTCAGTTGCCACCACAGTGCCTCTGACTGACAGCAACCCATGTGTGTCAGAGTAGAACTGCGAACCTCAGGGTTTTCAGGGGCTGACTGTTCAAAAGATGATAGCCAGTCCTTTCTTCCAAGGCACCTCTGGGTGAACTTGACCCTCCCACCTTTTAGTTAGCTGCCAAAGGCATTAACCTTTTGCACCACCCAAAGGTGTGCTCAAATAAACAACTCGCTGCCTGTGAGTAGATTCTGACTCTTAGCGACCCTATAGGACAGAGTAGAACTGGCCTGTGACGTTTCTGAGACTGGACCTCTATATGGGAGTAGAAAGCCCCGTCTTTCTCACGTAGAACTCGGGTGCTTTCAAATGGCTGGCTTTGCAGTTAGCAGTCCAATGAATAACCACTATGCCACCAGGGTTTAGAAGCCTCCTGTGGGTCTGGCCACAGCTTTCCTGTCGGTGCATACCACTGAGACACCAAGCTACACTTGTGTTGGCTGCCACCTCTTCTTGGGCCGAGTTGGCCCCTCTCGTTGGCCTTTCACTCACACCTGGCCGGGAAGTAACTGCACCAGGGAGGACTGCACTTCACTCTGCTCAGGTCTATGCTGGGGCTGCCTGCTGCTAGGTGCCGTGCTGAACCCCTGACCACTCTCAGGGTCACAAGCCACCCCAGGACTGCAGCCAGTAGACCAGGGGTGTGTGTGTGGTGGGGAGGGGGTCAGGGTTCCTTCTGGGATGGACACAGCCCCTCTCCTGCAGTGAGCCTCCAGGCTGGGGTCCTTCCTGAACAGACATGGCTGTGATGTTCTCAGGCATGGGAAACTGGGGTTGCCTGTCCTCTGGACTGCGGGGCTGGACAATGGGAATCTGCATGCGTGTGCTTGCACACACACATACACACACACACACACACTGCCACAAGGTGCTAGGGACTAGCTCTCGGTCTACCAAGGCTCCCTCCAGCCTGGGTCTCTCACACAGAGACCCTCTTGTGAATGGGGCTCTCACCCCTCTTTTGGCCTCTTTCTGGTCAGGCCCTCCCATGATGTCCCTGGGAAGGGGGCTCTGAGAGGGGTGATGGGGGACTTCTACTCAGAGGAGGGCTGAAGGAGGGGAGACTGAAGCGAGCTCGAAGTGCACTCAACACCCCTCCCTCACTTTCTCCTTATTTCTCTGAATGCCCCTTCACCCCAGGTGGGTCTCTGGAGCTCCTGAGACTTGCCCCTCCTTCTTAAAGACCCTGAAGGGGTGCAGCATGTCTGAGGGGGAGGAGGGTAGGGCTTTAGCCTGTGATGCCTTGTCTCAGTCTCATGCACTCTGGTGTGCACAGGGTGTGCGTGTATGTGTGCATATAGACACACGTGCATGGACACGTGTGTGCACAAGGAAGACGCAAAGCTGGTTGCAGAGCACTGTCTCTCCTCCGGGAGCTGCTGCCCCCACCCCCAGACTGGTCGCGTCCATTTATTTAAGAAAAATCTGACACAGTGGTGGGTAGAACCCGCAAGAAAACTGGCTGTGGGCTGGGGTTTGGGGAGATGCCTGGGCTCCCCTTAGCCTCTGTCCACCCCAAGGTTCCTCTCAGCACCCCCCTGGTGCCTCTTGTCCCCTTCCACCAGCTCCTGTTTTGCAAAGGGCAGGAGCGGTCAGCAGAGCAGAGGCTTGGTGTCAACCTTGCTGTGACGTCAGCAGGAGGCACCTTGGCCTCTTTGGGTCTGTCCAGATCTCGGGCTCTGGAGCTACACCGGGGAAGGACCCAGGATTCCTTTCAGCTGGGACCTTGCCATCTGCCCTTGGAGCAGCCGAGTCCTTAGCACACAGGAAGGTGTCCAGCTGGCCCTCAGACCCCTCTGCAGTCAGCTGCCAGGGGCTGGGAAGGGAGCAGGCCCCGGGGAAGCCAGCAGATGCTACAACTTATCCCCCACCCATCTCCCCACATCTTTTGTCCACAGTAAGATCCTTGGCAGGGCAGGCAGCCACCGCCTCCCCACCCTGCAGTACAGAAATCCCTGAATATTGGTTTGAAAAGTCTTTGTGCAGCCTGTGATACAAGACCCCCAGCTCCCCCAGCTCTCGGGGAAGACCGGGAACAGGGGAGGCAGGGGCAGGGGCACAGTGTAGGTCCACCTCGTCCCAAGCTTGGGTCTCCTCACCTCTGCATGGGTCAGGAGGGCTGCCTAGGGCAGGGGGATGTTTGGAAAGGGTGGCACAGTGCAGGGGTTCCTGCAACCCCCAGAGGGAGGCGCCTCCACCTGCAGGGTGGGGGAGCTGCTATGGGGGTCAGGTGGAAGGACCAGAGCCTAGCCGCCCCCGCCCCGGTGTAAAATAAAACCAGATGCAGCCGGCCAGCGCCGCAGGTCAGGTCCCGGCTGGCTTCCTTTAGAGCAGCCATCACGTGGACGGGGTCCCCAGTCACCCCGGCGGCAGCGCGTCTACGCGATCTCTTTGATTCTGCGCATATAATTGTGCAGGTCCGGCGGCTGGGCGGGCCGCGCGGTGCTGGCCACATCGGGGCAGCCCCAGCGCGGATCCTCGTCGTCCTCGTCGTCGTCCTCGCCGGCGGGCACCGAGTCGTAGGCCAGCTCCTCCGAGGGCAGCGTGGTGAAGGTGGTAAACTTAACCCGCTTGAGCTTGGACGTGGGCGAGCTGGCGGGGTCCTCCGCCTGGTCCCGGGCAGAGCCGCCCGAGGAGCCGTCGCCGCGCCCGTGCACCTGGCTCTGCACGCTGGTCTGCGAGCTGCCGCTGCTGTGGTGGTCGCCGTGGCAGCAGGCGGGCACCGTCTCCAGCGGGTTGCCGGGCGGCGGCGAGAGCTCGCCTTGCACCCTGAGCGGCTGCCCATTGCCCAGAAACACCCAGTGGTGCGAGTGGTCCATGCTGGTCTGGCCCTCGGGCGGGATGCGCTTGTGCCGGTAGCGCAGCACGAAGACGATGCAGTTGATGAGGAAGACGAGGATGGCGAGGCAGAAGACGCCCAGCAGCGCGTACATGCCGATCTCCAGGTCCGTCAGCCCCCGGGGCATCTGCAGGAAGCCGGTGGGCAGCGGCAGGAAGTCCTCTGTGGGCGGGATCGCCGGGCTGGCTGTACCCCTGCCCGGGCCCTCTGCTGGGGGGACCCCCGTACCGCGCCGCCCGGCTCCCCGGGCCTCGTCCTCGCCCCCGCCAGGCCCTGGCTGGCTGGGGCCCGGGTAGTCGTAGGTGGGGTCCTCCTCGTCCCTCCCAAAGTGTACCCGCAGCCCCACCAGCGTGGTGGCCAGCACGCTTTTGCGTTTGGTTTTCTGGCAGCTCTCCGCGATCGTGAGTTCGGCGCGGAGCAGCTCGCCGGCACCCTCGGCCTGGGCCACCACCAGCGGGAAGGCACGGTCCTGGGTCACCGTGGCCACGTGCTCGTCCAGGCTGCTCACCAGCAGCCCGTAGTCCCGGGGGCTGTAGAGGGAGAGCGGGGCCGTGGTGCCGTCGCTGTAGGAAAGCCAGAGGCTCAGGAGGGCTTCCTGGGGACGGAACAGGGCAGCAGTCAGAGCTGGTCCTGGCCGCTTGCTTCCCTGTGGGATCCCAGCCCCCATCCCTGGGGCATGGCCAAATGTTGTAAGTGCTCAAGATATGCCCTTTTGATGGGCAGGGAGCCCATCCCCCATCCCTGGGGCATGGCCAAATGTGGTAAGTGCTCAGGAAATGCCCTTTGGTGGGCAGAGCCCCATGGGCACCTTCTACTGCCCCAGGCCCTCTTGCCCACCGTCCCTCTCCCTCTTAAGAGATGCAGGTGAGGTTTGCTTTGGGAGGGACTGGAGCCTCTTCTGCAGGGGCAACTTCACATCTCCATGCAAGCACAGAGCTCCCCCAGCTCCCCTGTGCCGCCGAGACCCTGCTGAGCGTTGCCTTCCCTGAGAGGAGAAGGCAGGGCACGGAGGGACGTGGCTGGGTTGGGCCGCAGAGCAAGGCAGCGGCAGAGCATGCGTGACAAGTGACCCCATCGGCTCAGTCTCCAGCATTGTAGCCAGGGTCCTGGTTTGTCTGTGGGGCCTGTAGTTGGGGCTCCTAATTCTGGTGGGTGGGGTCAGAAGTGGCAGTCTCTCAGATCCTGGGAGGGAGTCCTCCTCATCAGGAGCACCTGAGGGTGGCCAAGAGCAGCAAGCCAGCCAGCCTGAGCAGATGGTGTGGGTATAGGGTGGGGCAGGGCAGGGCAGGGGTCCAGGCATGGAGAAGAGATGGACCGTCTGCTACCTAAGGCCCTAATGGGTGGGGGGAGGTGTCACAGCAAAGAGCCCCAAGGTGTGCTTCTGCACCTCAGACACTCTGGGCTGACAGGCTGAGAAGCTGATTACCTGCTTAAGGAAGCTGAGGGTCTGCTGGGCAGCTGTGGTAGCCAGGATAGTGTGGCTGCTCCCTGGACTGGGCCGCAGGGAGAGGGCCAGGCTGGCCACCACCTGGGCCTGCAGCTGTGTGATGCTGACCTTCTCCTCCGTCACGGTCAGCAGCGTCTCCCCGAGCACAGCTTCTGTCAGTGGGGACACCACCTGAGGCAGCATGGGACAGGGTCGGAGGGAGCCAGGAGAGGCATCACCTTCCAGACGCCCACTCGGAAGCCCAGAACTGCTGGAGGGGACCCAGAGGAGTGGGGGCAGACTGGGAGGCAAGGCTCTTGGACTAGGCTTTCAGTCTGCAACCAGGAACTGGAGTCCAGAGGCTGAACAGGGGCCAGGGGCCCACAGGAGGCAGGCCGGGCCAGTGGGGAGATCTTGAGGCAAACACCAGCCCTCTGAGAGGGTAGATACCAATTGCCATTTAGCCTCAATGTCAAGGAGACAAAAAGGGAGTAGCGGGGACTATGGCAAGTGGGAGAATGTGGTCCGTGTTGGACCAGATCTCACTGCCACGGAGTCAATGCTGACTCATAGCAACCTTATGGGAATAAGTCCTGTCTTTTCTCCCATGGAGTGGCTGACGGCTTCAAACGACTGACCTCGTGGACCACAGACCGATGTATAACCACTATGCTACCAGGGTTCCTCTGTCAAGGCCAGGCAAATGCTGGCTGCAGCCAATCATTGCCCGGTGGACTGCAAGCCCGGTGGTGCCAGGTTGCTTGTTTGTTTAGCCAGAAATACCCATGTTTCAAAGCAAGGAACCTCCCAGATTTGCCCGTTGTCTTTGTTCTTTCACAAACACAGTGTACCTGCTGTCAGAGCCCAGCCAGGGATCACGGCTTTACCCCCAGATTCTCAGTGGTCAGTTCTATAATCCCAGGATGCCTTTTCCTGGTGCAGAAGTTTTGGGGCCCCTCTCACCTGCTCCCCCCGCTCTGCTGTCCACACCTGCTGTTGGGGGGGGTCTGCGTGAGTCACCCCCACTGAGCTCTGCAAGGCTTTGGGGGAGGCTCCTTGACAGTGATGAGCACAAAGAGCCTGCCTGACCTTGGAGGGTGGAGGGGTCAGTGGGAGGAAAGTGTGTTTTGAGCAGCACGGGGGTGCTCCCAGAGGCTGGCTAGGTGGAGCCCCTCATAGGAACACCTGTGTTCTCTGCCCACAGGTAAACAAGACCCTGGGCACTGCCCTTGGTGCCAGGTAGAGTCTGTGCTTACCTTGAAGGGGGTGGTGCCTGGCTCCAGGCCGGCCAGCGTGCTGCTGTCCACCATGTGCGCCACTCGGGGGTCACCCACCCGCATGAACTCGCTGACCAGGTCAGTGACCTCCACCAGCCAGTCGGGGCCCAGCATGGTGACCACCTGGTCCGTGCCCTCCGACGATGCCGTGTGAAACTGGGTGAAGACCTGCAGCGTGGCGTGCTGGTACTGCAGGGTGCAGCCCCGGCTCGTGCTCTGCCGCCGCTCTTCTTCCTCCTCCTCCTCATCCTCGCTCTCCCGGGCCGACCTGGGTGGGGAGGCAGGGGGTCAGGGCTGGCCAGACTTCTGACCCTGGCTCGGACTGGCGTGACTGTTCCCTGCACTCTGGCCCTGCTGGCTCCTCCCCAGCTCCCCCTAACCAGAAGCTCTGCAAACAGCAAGCCTCTTCCAGCAGTCCCATTCTGGGCCCTCCCTGGTCTCTCTCCTGCCTCTGCTACATGTCATCCAAGCCCGGGCATCGCTGGTGTCTCGTACTGTCAGATGCAGCACTCCATACTGTCCTAGGGTCTAAACTGGAGGGGAGGCGGGCCTTGCTAGCTGAGTGCCAGGAAGCTTAGTGGAGTCACGTGCTCTGCTAAGAGCGGAGCTTGTAGGCAACTGCTTGGATCTTCATCTGTGGTGGTTTCCAAGCAGAGGGTTGAAGACTCTTACGGAGGTTTCTTCTTGCCGCTTACGGTAATATTCAAGAGGAAAGAGAGAAGGTGAGAGGAGAACTTGTGAGCAAAAAGGGACCAGGACTTGGCTTGGGAGGTTCTCCACCTATCCAGACCGATTGGGAGACTCTCAGTCAGGAGGGTGCTCTAAGGAGAAAGACAGGCGATGTCTGGCCAGCCTCCATTCATGCTTCAGGAGGAGAGCAAATCAGACCCTCCAGTCACACAGAGGACCCCCTCCCTGGGTCCACTCCCTTGATTCTCACACCCTTCCTATGTATGCAGCGGGTGCTTTGTGCCTGTTTTATGGACGAGAACAATGAAATGCAGAGAGGCTATGCGAGTACCCCAGGGTATAAAGCTGGGAAGCAGCAGTTAGGATGAGAATCCAAGTTCCCTAACTTCAGAGACCACAACCTCACCATTACTCAAAGCAGCACGAGCATCACCTGGGAGCTGCCTTTACACAAAGGTTGGTTTTTCCAGGTAATCCCTATGCATGCCACAGGTTTGAAAGACTCTGGTCTACCCTACCCTGCATTTGTAATCTATGCTGAAGGGATTGGAGCCCAAGTCTCCCTTGGCTGCCTGCTTCTCTTGCTTTCCCCCTTTCCTGTCCTCTCTTTTGGGTGGTGCCTCTCTCCCACTGTGCCACTCTCTGCCCCACAGACAGCCCCGTATGCCTTCAGCCTGGGCCCTGGACTTAACAGAGGAGATCCCAGCTTTCTTGCCTGAGTGTGAATTGCTGTGCACCTGGAGTTAAGTGTTCATGGAGGAGCCCAGGCTGGGGCACGTGTGTGTGAGTCTGTGTTGGCATGTATGTCCTGTAGGTCTGATGGTTCTTTCCTCTTGTTTCCCCAGCCAGCTTTTTTTGACTAGCCCCTTTAAGATTCAAGGAGTCCTTGGGTGATGCAAATGTTCACACACTCAGCTGATAACCCAAAGGTTGGAGGTTCTGGTGCATCCTGAGGTGCCTCAGAAGAAAGGACTCTCACTCTGCTTCTGAAGAATCGGCCGTTGGGAAGGAAAGAGGCCCAGGATAAGCAAAGCACTGCTGAAGAATTAAGAACCTACTGGGAGGCTGCTTCCTCCCCGACCTCAAAACCGAGCCCACAGCTGCAGCAGTCCAGGCAGCCTGGCCTGGTACCACAGGACCACACAGACGGATGCAACAGACTAGAGAATGCAGACAGAAGTCCATCCGCTTACAAGCACCTGGTTTTTAACCAAAGCCCGGAACGTGTTAAATGGGGAAGAGATAGTTTCTTCAACAGTGGTCGCAAAATGGGTTTTCCATTTGTAGAAGAATGAAACAGGACCCGTACTTCACATAAATGAACTCAAGATGGATTAGAGACCTGAATGTAAGCCCTGGAACGATAAAGAACATCAATAAAAAGCAGGGGCAAACTTGACTCATCCACTTACTGCCAGCAGGTCGATGGCAACTTATAGTGACCCTACAGGGCAGGGTGGACTGCCCCAGTGGGGTTCTAAGACTGTAACTGTTTATGGGAGTAGAAAGCCCAGTCTTTTTCCTGGGGAAAACTTGGGAGCCTTAATATAGGGCATAAACACACTACCAAGTATAATGAAGAACACACACAGTAGAGAGCAGAAGACATCCGAAAAAGAAGACACGTTCTCGCAGCAAAGGAATTCACCAAAGAGTCTACCGAGAACCCAACAGGTCGGGAAAATAGTGTCGGCAGCAGTACACTGGACAAGGGACTGATCTTTAAAACCTGTCAAAAACTGGAACACCTCAACCAGAAGACCAATCAGCCAATTAACAGCCGGGCAGAGGACACAGACAGTCCACCCAAGACACGCACGTGGCCAACAGACAGAGGGAGCGTGCTCGCTACCACCAGCCAGCCAAGAGATGCAGATTAAAATGAGACGCCATCTCACCCCGGCATTGCCAGCACAATTAGAACCCAAACCAGCAAACGGACGATGCTGGCGAGGGCGCGGTGAAGACGGGAAGCCTCGCACACTGCTGGCGGGCAGGGAAAACGGTACAACACTGGGACGAGGAATCCCACACGAGCCAGCCACCCCTGTACTTGGGTAGAGCTCCTGGGAAATAAAAGCCACAGCACATGCAGGCTCGTGTTCGTCACGGCACATGATGAACACATGGCATGATAGTCACAACAGAACAGACGATGGACGGATGGATGCCCACTGGTGGAAGAGGGGATGCACTTCGGGACAGACACACAACGGGAGACTCCACAGCACCGATGAATAGGATGGCTCTGGGAAACGCCTAGACGTGGATGGACTGATCGGAGGACATGAAGCCGAGTGAAATTAGCCAACCACAAAAGGAACAACACTGCCCGAGGCCACGGCGATTACAAAACAGGCAAACGAGAAAAGGCGTTCACACCAAAAGATCGAAACTTTGAGGACGACCAGGGATGGGAGTGGAAGAAAGGAGAGGGACCAGCTAGAGGGTGGACAGAGGAAGATAATGCCCAGCAAAAGGGAAGTGGGGGGTGGGAAGTGATGGCAACAGGACCAGCCATTGGGACATTGGTAAGCCGTGGAGGACAAAAATGATCTAATCTCAGCTAAGTCACAATAGAAAGGTTTTACAAGCCAGCCTTTGAAAACTCTAGGGGGCACGGTTCTGCTCTAAGTTCACTGACTTCATGGCGCCTGGTTTTAAGAGTGAGCTCAAGAGTCACCTCTTCCAGGAAGCCTGCCTTGATTTCTCCAGGAGGACAAAGAGGTCTTCCCCTTTGCACCTCTCAATATCCTGAGTGCTCCTTGAGTCCCAGCATGCTCCGGGGCATAGGTGAGACTGCCTTTCTCTCCAGCCAAGAGCATGGCTGGATCAGATACTGGCCGCACCCCCCTCCATGTCTCAGATACCCACCAGAGCCCAGCACACAGTAGCTGCTCAGCGTTTTCACTGTCAGCTTGACCTGCTGGCTAGGGCCCTGTGCAGCTCAGGCTGTGTCCCCCAGTGTGGAGGGGCTGTACCTCCGGTCGGGAAGGACAGGTACCCTCCAGCCCTTCACTTGGCTGAGGCGGGCGTTGGAGAGCTCGATGTGCAGGGGCAGCTTGGGCACCCAGACCGTCATCTCCAGGGGCGCCCGGAGGATGTCATAGCGGAATGTGACCCTGGCGTTCATGGACCCTCGCGACTCCTTCCCGCTCACAAACACGTAGTCGCAGCTGCTGGACACCTGGGGAGGGGAAGGGCCGTGAGTTTTCCTGTGTGCAGGGCAGGGCCTTTCCGTGTCCCAAGCAGCGCCAGAGGGAGAAGATTGTCCCCCACTCCGCTCTGCCTCCAAAGACAAGTGCTCATGGCCACGGTCCTCCGGCCCGGACACTCTCCTCCGGCACAGGGGAGTAGCCTACCCTGAGTGGGCTCACCGGACAGGAAGGGGGGAGGCAGAGGGAGGAGGGAGGAGCGGCTGCTTCATGACACACGAGGGGGCTTTTGTGGGGCGACAGGCCGGAGAGGAGACACTGGGGCCGGGTAAACATCAGTTGTCCTCAGGGACAATGATGGCTGCTACCCCTGGCATGCCCGCCGGGACTATGTGGACACCAATCTGCCTTCCTGCAGGTCCTCCGGATGGACACATGCCTCCCAGCACATCTTGGTGGACAGCTGTGCCCACTCACAGAGTTGGCTCTGCCAGTACTTGAGAGCAAATGGAGATGGGTGTGCCTGTCAGGTAGCCCCCCCCACTAGCCCCCCCCCTCCCCACACCTGGCACACTGTGGAGTGACTGTGCCCGCACGTGAGGCTCCAGGGGGAGGTGTAGGGTCTGGGAGGCTGGTTTATTCATGTTGCCGGGCCCCTGGCCCGCCCCACATCCACTAGGCTCCCTGAAGCATCTCAGAGGGGTGGGTGGAGAGAAGCAAGGACAACATCCCTGCCAGAAATGCTCATTTCCTGCTTCGGAAGGCAGAGAATTCCATCGAAAGGCTGGCTCGTTCCATCCAGAATGCTGGCAGCCGCCATAAAGCATTAGAGCGCATCTCCCTGCAGATGGGGACATATTCCACCTCGACTGCCCCTGAATTCCCATTGGTGTCGGAGCCATTGTGACTTTGCTCTGGCCTGCTGTGAGGCTGGGGCAGGGAGTCCAGGGCAGCAGAGGGAGGGGCGCTGTAGACCCCTGGGGCAGGCCTGTTTCTCCCAGTTCAGGCCGCATGCAGGGAGATGCCCTTGGACCCGAGGCTGGGATCCTGCTCTGAAGGAGGGGAAAGAGGGTGTATTGAGCCCCCACTGGCCTCCTTGAAGGGCACTGTTCCCGGGCCAGGGATGGGTGAGGTGACTGTGCTCTGCAAGCCTGGATGGACAGGGAGCCCTGTGAACTGGCTGAATTATTGACAGCGATAGGAGACAGGGGCCCTGCTCTGATCTTTGATATTGGAACGCTAGCCCAGCTAACAGCTTCTCCACGCTGTGGGTACCAGGGTGGGACAGCCTCAGGTTGCCCATTTCACTGCGCATGGACCCAGCTCACCTCTGACCTCTGACCAAAGCCCAGGAAGGGTTAACTCGGGAGGCGCTCCTGGGGAGGCTGACCGAGGAGGCCCACGGTGGGGCAGACTGCAAGGCGTGCCACTCCTTACACACCTCCACTCCTGGCCGGGACCACCCACTTCCTAAGTTTGATCTGCATGGAGTCAGTCTCCCCTTGCTAACCACAAGGTTGGTGGTCCCCTGAGGCCCCTCTGAAGAGAGGTCTGGGGGTCTACTCTGAAAGATGAGTCCCCGAGAATCCAGCGAGCACAGCTCCACTCCAACACAGAATGGGTTGCCGTGAGTCGGACTGGACCCCACAGCAGCTGGTCACTGGTGGGTTGAGTGAATCTATCCACACTGCCTTCTCCCCTCGGTTCTGCCCAGCAACCTCTTCTTTCTTCCTACAGGAAGCCCTCCAGGATGGGCAGGAACAGTGCCCACGGCTCCCCCTCACCCCACTCAGATTGGATAGAGGACACCCACAGCTGCTTTACTCCCATTTGCCCCTCCCAAGGGCACCTGCCTGGAACGTGACTTCCCCTCTGGGCTCAGGTTCCATGAGCCCTGGTGGTGAGGGTCTTTCTTCCCCAAGGGCCCTGCCTCCGGGAAGCCCACCTTGATGATGTCCTCGTTGTCAGACTCGCATTCCACCAGCGCAGAGATGTCTAGGACGAGGCCGGTCACCTCGATGGCGATGACCTTGACAGGGATGGCCACTGTGCGCCCGGTCAGGATGGCCGTGTTGATGATCTCTGTGTCCTGCAGGAAGGAGGGGTTGGGCTGGGGCGGGGCCAGCTGCTCATGTCTGGCCGAGGGTCCCCACTCTGGGCTGCCCCTCCCAAGGTGGACATCCTCACTTTGTGCCTGTTTGGTCTCCAGCTCCTGTTCAGATGGGCTGCTCAGCTGGACTCCCCTCCCCAGGTTCTCACGGCACCTCCCCCAAATCCGCCATGCTCCTTAGGACTCTCACAGGAGCACCCACATGTTTGCAGGGCCATGAGCTTGTCCCATGGTTACGTGGTCATTCGTGGTGTCCCTGGGCTGGCCCCAGACAGCAGCGCCAGCCTCCCCACAACTGCCCTCACATTCTGACCCCCCCTGCTCCATTGAATAAGCACCTCACCACATGACTGCCCTGGCTGGCAGTCACCCTCCTCCTCCTTGTCTCAGTGCAAAGCCCTTCTTCCCAAGGGACTTGCAAGGCTCAACTGCACAGCCACATCCCCTGAGTGGCCCCCAGAGCGACTGTCCCAGGCCCTGCAGCTCTCAGGCTGCCGGGTGACTGGGCAGACAGACCCTGGGCCCCTGCTCCTGTGCACACGGGAGTCACACTCACACGCGTGTGCGCCCCTGGCCCGGGCCCTGCTGCTCACCATGGCTAGGGGCAGGATGGCTTGCACGTCCCTCTGGATGACCGTCAACTCAGTGACTGCCCGCTCCAGGTCAGGCAGGGCCCCCTGGCCGCGGTAGTCAATGTGCCACATGATCCTGCGCTTGACCGACTGGCTGGTGAAGTTCTCCATCTCGAAGTCCAGCTGCAGGATCTCCAGGGGGACCTGGCCCTCCCTGCAGGTGTGGGAAAGGAGGGACAGCCAGGATGAAGGCCTGGGAGCCACCAGCGGGGCCTTCATCCTACCCATGGCAGCTGGGCTAGCTGGGTTTCCCCAGCCCACCTGAAGTCCCTTCTGAAGGACATCCCCCCACCCCTCACCAAGGCCTGGACTAGAGTGCCCATAAAGTGCCCATTAAGCAAGCCCCAGCCTCCTCCTTCAAGGACAGCCACCCCTCCCGGAGAAACCAGCCCAGGCTCACCTAGGGGGCAGGGGGGTACCCTGGGCCCAAGCCACATCCACCGTGGCTGTGGAGTGCTTGGCCCCAGTCAGCAGCTCTGAGGTCACGTGCCACTGGCCACTCCGTGACTTGGTGCCTAGAAGGGTCACTCCCTTCTTTGCCTTCACCCTGGGGATGAAGAGGTAGGAAGAAGGGGTAGAGCATTGAGCTAGGGCCTGCCTGGTCCCCACCCCTAGGCTGGGGCTGGGCAGAGGGGGAAGCAGGTGAACCCTGTGCCCCTACATCCTAGACTCATGTTTGAGTGGGGCTCTGCCCCTCAGGGGAGACAGCCAGCGCCTTTACCACATCCCTGATGAGTCTCTGACAAGCTTCTGCTCGTATAGCTCAGGGGCAGAAAGCTCACTGCCCGCACACCCATCCCCCCACCCTGTCCCATTCCCAACACCTCTTTCCTGTGTTGTAACTGAGCTCTAACAGCCAAAGGAGCCCTGGCGGCCTAGGGGTTACGAGTTGCCTGCTAACTGCAAGGTCCAAAGTTTGAAACCACCGGCCGGTCTGAGAGAGAAAGATGAGACTTTCTACTACGGTAGCATTACAGTCTTGGAAACCCACAGGGGCAGCTCTCCCTTGCCCTATCGGGCCACTACGGGTTGGCATAGACTGCATGGCAGCGAGCTTGGGTGTTTTGGGCCCGCTGGGGCCCGGGAGAAGCCACACACGTGGCCCCGTGCTCACAGTGTCCACCGCAGAGGTGAGCAGAGCGCCCCGCAGCTTTCTTGTCCCCAGGCTAAAACCTCCCGCTCCTCCACAACTGCTGCTTTCTGCCCCGGTGTCCAGTCACCCCCTATCCTGCTCAGCTTCCTCTGGGCACTCGGGACACTTTAATGGGCAGCCCCTTCTATTCTGACTCAAGCAGGGTGCGGAAGGAGCCCAGTGGCGCAGTGGTTAAGCGCTCAACCGTGAACCGAAAGGTCGCTCCACGAGAGAAAGATGGGGCAGCCTGCTTCTGGAAAGATGTACAGCCTTGGAAACCCCGTGGGGGAAGTGCCACTCGGGCGCTATCAATTGGAATGCAATTGATGACAAGGGGATTTCTGCGGAAGCAGGCTCAGTTATCACCTCCTTCATTCTTTACACGCTACTCCTGTTCGTGCATCCCAAAGCTCTCCGGTGACTGATTTAACTCAGGTGCATAGTCTGGTTCCACTCAGGTAGGACCCTCTCCGGGAATCTACGGACAGGGGGGGCACCCAGGCGGGAAGTCAAACTTACTCAAGGATGAGGGACCTACTCAAATCCCAAGTGTCATGCTTGGGGCGGGAGGGGGGGGGACACGAGGTCTTTTCTACATGCCCAGAATCACCTGACAGCACAAACCCCGGTCCCTGCTATGGGACATGCTTCTGCTCTGTAAGGGCAAGTACCGTGAAGGTGTTTCTGAACTCAAGGGCTGCATCCTGCTCAGAGCCTAGAAACACACGTGGGGAAAGTATCTTCCTGCTCCAGGGCTTGGGACAGTTATCTGAACGCTGCACACATTCCTGCGCCTCTTTTGACTCTGAGACCAGAGGCTGCTCTCAGATCGCCATCTCCACTCTCACGCTCCTCACCTGTAAAATGGGAACACGGCACTGGCCGATGTCTGAGGACCTTTCCCAGCCCCCTGTCTGTCCTTCTGACCATCCATGCCGGTGAAAACGGACACGTCCCTTTTTGCCCCGATGCCATGCCACATCTGGGCAGCTGGGGCAGGCTAGCTGTTCCCTTAGGGTGGTTCTCAACCTTCTGAATGCCTCGACCTTTTCATACAGTTCCTCATGTTGTGGTGATCCCCGCCCCCCCAACCGTAAAATTCTTTTCGTTGTCATTTCATAACTGCAATTTTGCTACTGTTATGAATCTGGCGACCCCTTTGAAAAGAGTTGTTTGACCCCAAAAGGGGTCGCGACCCACAGGTTGAGAACCACTGCCTTAGCGGGGACAGCTGCACCCTGAGGTTCACATCAGCAAGGATTCCCGCTGCACTGGCTCAGGTGCTAAATGGAAAGGCTAGGATGAAGACCCTGGACCTGCGATCCCAGAGGGTCCTCTGGGGGTCTTGGCACCCATGTGGTCCTCCCTCCCTACCTGAGTGTGAAATGCTCCACGCTGGGGCTGGCGGCTGTGGAGGAGTTGGGGGCTAGGTAGAGGAAGATACTAAGCACCTCCCCGGGCTTGAGGGGCCGGTCCGGCAGGCGGATCACCAGGTTGCTGTCCAGCC